GAATCACAACCTCACAGAAGTTTGACATCGCTCATAATGATCCAGTTTCTTCTCTTGTGAGACTGTGAAGGTTTATAACTTTTTACATCCTCTCAGTCAAATCACAAAAGTAAATTATGATCATATTAAATAGAGACAACAATTTGGTTGTATGTATTGTGTAAACAATCTTCATGAGTATAAAATGAGACTAGAGCTGCACATTACAATCCACAGAGACTCAACAATGGCTTCACTAAAATCACAACTAAACCTTTATGTGAAATCAATCACAAAATGAACTCATGGGAAACTTTTTTTTTAAACTAACACATCAAGCTCAGGGCCGATGTCCGTCACTGTGAGATGAGGCCATAAACCATTAGTGTGCTGCTCATAGCCTCAGTCAAACGGGAGGTTAATTAACCTAAGCCCGGCCTTAAAACAAGCCCCCTCCACCTACAACCCCACCAACCCACCTCCATCCCTCACCCATCCCACACAGTCCACCCCCAGCGAGGCCCCTCTTCCATGGATCCGCTCAAGAGGATAATCCCTCAGCTGGTGCTGTGGACAGGGGGCCACGTAACCCCACCCCCACCCCCTACCCCCATTACACAACTGAACACACACACACACACACACACACACACACACACACAGAGCAACAAATTAAGAAAGGAAAAACCACAGGTTCATATGTAAGACTGAACGACACACACACACACACACACACGCTGATTCAAATAGTCACACACCAAAACACAATCAGACACCACACAAATGTGTGCAGGTGGTTAGGATACACAGAGTACACAGAGTACACGGAGTACTGAGGCCTGAACTCATTACACTTGTTCAGTGTATCTAATGTTGTGTAGGTCCCTCACTTTGGTTCAGTCTAAAATATCTCAACAACTACTATAATGACTTCCATAACATTTTGTATAGACATTCATGGTTCCCAGTTGATGTGCCACGACTGATTTGATCGTGATAACGTAACATTCCCAGCAATCTCTACTTATTTTTATTCGTAATTTGTGTTTATGGCTAATATTATCATGCCAGGACACTGAACTGTGACTGTGAACATGATACAACTCCTGGTAATACCTGAAATTAGCTGTGACAACCACTGTTAATACTTTCAATCAATAGGAATGAGTGCAAAGTATAGTCTTATGTGTGCAGTAGTGTTGGTCAAATGTGTGCAACAATAATAACTATTAAATATTTCCTAGAGTCCAAGTTGTTGTCTCATCAATTCATCTCAAACACTCCAGCTTTTTTTTTTTCATTTTTACCTAAGACCAGAAAATAGCCTGAAAATGATTATTGTCAAAAATACTTCCCAATTAATTTGTATTAAGTTAAGTGATGAACAGACAGACCACAGAGAACAACTGGTCAATATTACTGTAAGAAATAGCTGAACATGATTCATGTCAGGTTTGAGTTTCTCAAATATGTCAGAAAGATACAGTACCTGTTAACTGTGTATATGTGCGCATGTGTGTGTGTGTATTTGACTGGTCACAATCTCTTACTAATCAGGCTGGGAATGTAACGGCAGGAAACGGAGTCTGAAATTAAGAAGGCAGCAGTATGGGATCGGGCTATGCGATGGAAAGTCGCAGTGAAAGCCGCTGGAGACAAACAGGTTTTGTTGGTTTTTGCTGAGAGGACATGTTCTCTGGCATCAAGCTTCACAGGGTTGCACCAGTAGGAGCCCCCAGGCTTCATACACAAACACGTATGTATACACACATACATGTGCATTCAGTCCTGTGGGTCTAGACTCATGCTCATTATGCCGCTACTCCAAACACATGCAATTACAAAAAAACACAACATCTACACAACTTTATTAACTTTGCAGATTGCCGAAACACAGGTCTCGTTTTACTTTTTTTCAGCTCATTGTTTTGGTTTTAAAACCAGCCACTCGACTGTTTTGGTTCAGTCTCACTCTCACTGCTCATATTGTAAATTCCCACAGCTGCTTTTTGTGTAAAAACGTTTCCTGCTCAGCACCAAACAGCAACTGGCTGCTGAACATTTAGTGGACAATTTAGCAGCTAAGGAGCCAGATATTTCCCTCAGGAGTCCCTCAGCGGAAATTGGGTGAACTGTGGACATATATGTTCCAATAATAATATGACAGGCTATGTTTGCAGCTCCTTCCAGAGAGGATGGAAGGTCAGGACGTGGTTGTCATTACCTAAAGAGTTGGAGCCAAAAGGACGGAGGGTCTGTCAGATCATCCACACAGAAAGACTGGCTGGAATCAACAAACAACACAGTCACACACACACGGACACACACACATACTGCCCAGGGCTGTGAGCGCACAGTGCAGTTGGTAGAAAAGAAGAGGGGAGGGGGCGTGCTGAAAGTCTTTGTTCTATAAGGCTCATATCTGAGGCATTATTCTTTCTCTCGTGCGAGAGGAGGAGGAATGATCGCTATGTGGGATGAGCACAGCAAAAAGAAAAAAGAAAAATAACTCCTCCACTATGGTGAGGACTTGTCTCAGGGCTACTCAACATACACACACCCCCCAAACAAGTTTGAAACACAGATTCCCCTGCTCACTCATCATACTCTTTAACTCCCTTCTTACACACACACACACACACATCTACCCCCACATACAGATGCACTAATGCTACAGAAGTGCAACCAACACAGATTTACAGTTTACATGGCAACGCAAGTAATCCATCTGAGACAGTAAAGACTCCAAAGCCTTGAAAACTAAAGGCCTGGACAAAAAAAACTCCTGTGGCTGTCACAGACTTCAGAGAAGGCTTTGACAGGTGCGTTTTTAACCCTTACCTCCACCCCTGCTCACCACACTGCCAACCTGCTCCATTACACCTGTTTCCCCCACTGGAGAAACATACCGCTCTCAGCTGCCCTGTGGGACACCATAACATACACACACACATGCACACAGCCCAGCGAGTCCGGTGTTAGCTGTCTCGATCTGTGACCGAAAAAATGCTCTACGCACGCACACTGCTCTTTTCACCTCCGCAGCAGCTCAGAGACACTGAACACAAAGTCTGTCAAACATATACAGTAACTATTTACACATGTGTGTATAGTACATTTTTTGAGTTGGAGTAACTCATTTCCATCTTCTTCGCTTGAGTATAATGTTCACAAGTTCAAAAACAGCAACACATTTTAAGCCTAAAATGCAAAATATGTGTTAATGGATTGAAAATGTCTTATCAAATTTAGATATTTATGGAATTTCTTAGTTTTCTATCATAATAAATATACAATTTTTATATTTCACTATAAGAGTTCACCAATTACTTTATAATGCTATTGCTAAAAACAGTCTGTCAGCAGATTTAATGAAATGCAATAGACTATGATCTATACGTAGTAGTAGACATGCGAACATGCTGGAGATGGTTGTTAAAATTTTAATTCAACAAATAATTAACAAAATTATTAAAGATAATCTAACTGGCTGCAACAATAACTAACAGCAACAGCAGCCACACAACAAGGGAAACTATTTATGAATAAAATATTATTGATACAGAAAAAAAACAGAAGCTCACGACACCATCCATGCACAACCATAATGTACAGTAGGCTACTGAACACAGCCTGAAATAACCAGTGGAAAAGAAACAAAGTACATTTATTTCATTATGTTGTACAACATGTCTTTCAATTTCTTGCTTCGATTGCTTTTACATTTAAATGACTGATACATGACTTTGTTGGTTAAGATTTTAAATTCTCTTTTACGAGGCACTCTTTTTTAAGACATTTTATGTTGTTGGTAGTCCGATTGCACAAGGTATGGTGTGTGGGTGTATGTGATTGTGTGTACATAAGGTGTGCCTCTGTGTTTTAACTGAGACGTACATGATTTTCCCCTTGTGGAATAATAAAGTTTAGACCTGGACCATGGAAATGAATCACTTGATGAACCAAAACTTTAAAAAACTTATCACATGATCAACCTCCTGTATATATTATGATACCCTAAAACAAAGAAGAGTTTATAGTTCAGATTAATTTCCTCTCATTTAGCAAGAGCCTTAAAATGCTGCTTACATCCTGATGTAGGAATACTATTCTCCTACAAGATTATATTGTTAAACACTTAAAAAGAGGCCATTCAGCAATGTTCATTACTTTTGATACTTGAATGCACTCAGTGGTAGAAAGTGACCAATTAGATTAACTTTAGTACAATAATTGCATACTAGCACTTTACTTTTTTACCGAGCATTTCTCGCATTCAACCCGCTGCTTCATAGTATTTATACTATAGGGATATAAACATCTTCCTGCACTTTACAAATCTGACAATACAGTTATAGAAAACAGCAAGAATCGTCTCAATTCAATATTAAAGTATTGCTCATAATGGTTCATATTGCAAATTCTGCAAAGTAGTCCATTATTTATTATAATATACACAATTCTGTCAGAGACAATTTTCCTGCACAGTCATTCATTTTAACCATACATACATTTAGCTGATTTCTGCCACACTTTGACATGTCATGAGGAATTTTCACATTTTGTTTCAACTTTTACTGAACTTCTGTGAAGGATCAAAGGGAAACATTGATTGTATAATAAAAAATCGATTGACTAATACAGAACAAAGGCAACAATGACGTTGTGAGTCCACCTCCGGTCTACTCACACAGAGGAGGAAACAGAAACCTCACCGGCGAGTTAATAAATACACACAGTTAGATTTTTCTCGGTTTTTCCCGTTGTAAAACTTTTACCCAGGCACGCGCTAATATTTGACTGCGCGCAAGTGACGTGATTCCTTCAAATAATAAAGAGTGAAAAGTTCCGACTGGAACACAGGAAGCCACACACACTCTGCACCACTGGCATTAAAGGAAAAAATGTCGGAATTTGAGCGAAGAAATGTGAGATATTTGAGGAATGTTGCGTCGGACAGTGTGTGAGGAGGATTCGGGGAGAAGGCGCACAGAAATCGCTGAGTTCACGTCCGCAATATGAACAAAGTTTACACTGCGACACAAGAGACGCACTTCAACATGAAGCAGAGTAAACACAACACTACAGGATGTCCTAGAATATAATGTAGGAAACTTACCCGGAGATACAGGCCGACACAGGTGCAGCAATTTCTAATTTCTTTCTCCTTACTTTCTTTTTTTTGTTTTGAAAATGAATGAAGTGACTCTCCTCCTCAGTCAGGCTTCTCCTTTTCTCTTTCTTTTCTTTTTTTTCTCTCCCTTTGTTTGTTTTCTGCTGCCTCGTCTCCTTCCTTAAAGCCGTTTGTTTGAAGCGAGAGGAGGGCAGGAATTTCAGGAATTAGCCGTGGTATGACATGAAGCCTGGAAAAAGCCAGAGGAGAGAGAAAAGAGAGAGAGAGAGAGAGGAGGGCAGGAATTTCAGGAATTAGCCGTGGTATGACATGAAGCCTGGAAAAAGCCAGAGGAGAGAGAAAAGAGAGAGAGAGAGAGAGGGAGGGGAGGAGGAGATGGGAGGGGAAGGAGGGAGGGAGGTCTGACCGGTCAACACGTAATCACGGAGAGGGGGAGGAGGGTGGGAGAGCAAAGGAAAGGGTGGTGATGGTGGGAGGTGTATGCTGCTGTTTGGGAAATCTCATTAAAAACTAACAATATATGTATTTATTTATTTATTGTATACATAAAAAAACGGATTCAATGTTTTTGTAAATGCTCCTGTGTTCTGCATTTGTGTATATAGAATTGTACATGCTATTTCTTTATTACATATTCTCATTTGGCTTCTTTCTATACATTGTGTTATCGTGCACATGTTTTTTTTGTGGGTTTTTTTACAAACTTTTTATTTCATGCTCTTCCCTATATTGGTATTTCTATTTATTCTTATTGTCTTAGTCTGTGTATATTTCTATTCTTGGCTGGAGCAAATGTAACAAAGCCTGATTTCCCCTCGGGGATCAATAAAGTATTTGTGATTCTGATTCTCGCTCGTCTCTTATCAATTGTTTTTAATACTGTGAGGCAAAGCATACTTTCCAACAATGTTGTAAATACAGTTTATTATCGAAAATCTTTGTCATGTTTTTATGAACACTGAGTGGCTCCACTTTCTTTAGAGCATTATATTAGATGATTCTCATATTGAAAGTCTTAAACATGTGTAATGTTAGAGGCTCTCCACTGCATCAAATGCTTGTAATTTAAAGAACTGGCTGGACAATAAAACATCAACATTCAATATTTTCATTAATAGAATTATAGCAAAATCAATATACGTCAATCTCAAACTTATGCACTGTGAAGGCACAATGAGGAGATAAAGTGTTTTCAAAGTGTTTATCATCCTTATATAACTACTTTCCTGTTCCCTCTTTCAAGATGCTTTAGTTGTTAAAGATGAGATATGTTATCTTAAGTCAAATAAATTAAGTTTTGAAAACGTATTTGAGGAATCCACCTGTTGTTGTTAACTTATCCATTGGAGTGTTTAAACCATCTTTTGTCCATATTCTGACATGAGCAGACGGGGGTGATTACTGTTGGACACGGTCACACTGTTGAAGTCATTGTTGGCCTGATTGTCTGAGATGGGATTCTGGACTTTGGACACTGTGATGCAACAAGTGTACGACAACATACAATGGGTAACACACTCCTCTAGTGGCTATTTATGGTATTACATGATCGACAGCAATATTTCAGGACACATTTCCAGGACACTTGTTTTTCTGCTGGTAATGTGTCCTGAAAATGTACGATAGTTATAACATGAGTAGTGAAAAACTCATCAATACCGCTTTTTAAAATGAACAAGTAGCTATATGCCATATTTGTTTTACCAAGCTCAGCAGTGGTTCAGTGTGGCAGCCATGTTTATCAGTAAATCTTCAATCACTGTCCTCACACAAGTGACCATTTAATAAAAAAGACACTTTACCCTATTTCTCTTCACCTCCTTGGTACAACCTCAAACCCACTTCCTCCCTCCATCTTCTCTTCACAGTCCCTGTCCTGCATATTCATATGACAAAATGAAAAGAGAGATGAGACATTTGTCTAATTCAAATCACTTTATTAATAAAGTTTCATTGCATTCTCAATCAAGTTTAAGGCAGATCTAGTTGCTTTTGTGAAACACACAGATGCTGATTGACCTAAAATACACGTCATTCTTCAACATCAAATCTATCCACATCCTCAAGTAAAACCCAAGTCACAGATGGATTCACATTGTTCATTTTTTCTCAACATTACACTTTCCTCAGTCTTTCTTTCTTTTCATGCTCCTTAATTTTCCAATGAAAGTTCATTTACTTAAAACAGTGGTACATATACCCGACAAACCAAAGTGGTCTACAAACAGTCTGGACTAGACTCTGTTAAATAAAGCCTATTACAAACTACAGGATAATTCTTTGAACTCATTTTAAGGAAAAATTAAAAACAAGACGGATTAATTTGGTCTAAAAAGAATATAAATTAACTTAAAAGCCTCCTGTTGAAGAAGAAGTTGTACTATTGACTTTATAAAAGATTCTATAGAAAATACTTGGAATGTAATGAGAAAGTATTGTACAAAAGGTTTATAGATAAAGTCAGTGACTGAAAAAGGAAACAGAAAACGCTGGTCCTAAAAAACCTTTCCACTGTTGAGTGCTCTACAGTCACACACTGCTGGGACTGACTGTAACACACCAGACCCCTGGGAAGTGTGAAACTAGACACTGTGTGATTCCTCATGTTTTGGTCCATGCTGTGTGAACCCTTCTCAGCACTAATGGAATGACTGGCTAATGAAGCTGAGAGCTCCACGTCAACTTTACCCAGAGTCCCTCATGTTCACAAACTATGAGTCCAGTTCACTTCAGGGCCTCTCCTTTACTCTGTGCCCTAAAGACACATCTCCAACCCTGCGTTGTCCACGTCCAGGGAGCATGTTCTCTTCTTTTTTACCTCATCATGAGTCTATTTCCTACTGTGGCAGATTACATCCGAGGTTCATTTCTTGGAGAGGAATTTCATCTTGTTTCCTGAAAAAACAAAAGAAGTAAATTAGATTAAAAAACATTGATGGATGGATGGATGGATGGATGGACAGACAGATTTACAGTAAATCTAACCTAGGCCCTTGAGGAACTTGTTGACTCCTCGTTGCTCGCTCCCAGGCAGGGAGTCCAGGTACTCCTGTGCTCTCACCTCAAACAGACCTGAAAACCAACAAACAAAAGTGACATATTTCAAGTTAAATGTTATGAGGAAACCCCCATTTCTATCTTTGAGGATTATAACGGATGCTATCTAAAAGAAAGGAATGAGCAGACTCTATTTCCTGAGGAAGCTCAGATCTTTCAACGCGCAGTCTGTTGTAGCCAGTGTTTGAACGAGCTGATTAAGAAGGCTGGCTCTGTCATTGGCTGCAAACCTGACACTTTTGAAGTGGTGGTGGAGAGAAGGGCGCTGAATAAGCTGTTATCCATCATGGACAATCAAGAGCACCCTCTCCACCACCTGGTGGTCAGACAGCAGAGCACCTTCCCCAACAGACTGGTTCAGCTCTGCTGCCGCAAGGACAGATACAGGAAGTCTTTCCTGTCCACTCGCCATAAGAGCTACTACACTGTTTTCATATGCAGCCATAGTAGGTATTTAAGTTCAGCCAACATACTGTGACACCACTAATCAATCTCTGTACCTCTGAGGCCCTGCCTGCGCATCTCCCTCTCCTGGATGAAGCCAGTGAACATCTGTGTCTCCATGAACACCTCCAGAAACCTCCTCAGGCTCTTGGAAGTGACAGCTTTCCGAAAGGCCTCGCGCTGAAAGGACGAGGAGGCAGAAGAAGAAGGGCTGGGCGAGGTGGGGGAGGATACAGACTCATCGTCCCGCTCTGCTCCACCCATGAAGAGCGAGTAGTGACCCACCATCTCCACAAAGAAACGCACAAAGGCCTCTGATACCACTGTGCTGAGGGAGCTGGAGTCTGATAGGAGAGAGAGAGAAAAGAAAAGATTTAGTCATGTGACTTTCTAAGAGCCGACTGGATGCACAGAAATGTCATACAAAGTTGATCAACAATAATAAAACAACATAATCTCATTAAAGGTATTTCTGTCTACTCACTGTTTAGACTAATAATTCCTTATTTTTGAAAATATAGGACAAGCCCAAACTCATACATCTCTCTTTTCACACATAACAGAAGTGTTTAAACTGTGTATTACCTCTCAAAAAGGCCATCCTATATTTATTATATCCTATATTTGACAAAGGTAGCTAGACAGAGTCCCCAGCTCTGTTTTGTGGGTTACTGTCTGTAGGCCTATATTTATTTATATGTATATATACATTACATTACAATAATGCAGTTTAGTGTTGCACTAATCTCTGTGGTTTAAAACTTTCCGGTCTGTTGTCCTCGTGGCCATTAACATTCTGAACAACTACATATCAGCAAAAGCTAAATTTCTATAATTATTTACATTACTTTTAATTTCCCATTGATACAGCAAAACCACAGTGTAGACTGTCATTATTAATGGTTCTTATAAATCAAAAAACTTGGAAAACTTGAACCACAAAAGTCACACAATGGATCTGTTCATAGATGATGGAGAGTAATTTTGAAATTTGAAAAGCTACAAACACTCTCAACACTCTTGAATAGTAAGAGAAGATGTAAGAGAGGTTTATTGACACCAAATGTGGTGAATCAGAAAACTGAAACAACTAAAAAAGACTAAAAAATATTATTTCTGAAAGTCTAACGACAACTGATGGTACAGTCTGTCAGTTAAAGTGTTCTGAAAATTATCAGCAAAAACGGTTTATTCAAAGTGTGGAAATTATACACCATTACTTACACTTGCTTATTTTACCGCACTGTTTTTAATGTGTTTGGTATTTTGAATAAAAACATTTTTCCATTTGCATCTTAACAGAGGCAATAATGAGAGTGCTGTCACCATTCGGTAGATCTCCTTTCTCACAGGCAAGCTCCCTCCTCTTGTCCAGCACATGCTCGAGAGCTGCCTGCAGCTTGTGAGGGAGAATGGAGTCCTCATCATCCAGCTGTGGAGGCAAAGACACAGATGAAAACTCAGTCAACATACTGCAGTGAATTAAAATATTCACTCTACATCTGCTAGAACCACTACACGTGTAATGGAGTTAAAGGATGAGACTTGTGATTATAGATGGATTTTCAATGTTTCCTGAGTGTTTCTGTGGTTTCTACCTGTCGTAGGAAACGGCTGTTGCCGAGGTCGACCACCAGGACCTGAGGGAAGTGCAGAAAGAGATTGATGTCATTTCCTGGAGCTATTGTTCAAAGGAGGAAAAGCCGAGAGTCAAGGGCACCGTCACAAACAAAAACACAAGCCGGTCTC